CTATACGTTAAGTCACAAAGTCGAAATTTAGACCGCAGATCTTTAACACAGTTCACAGCAGTGTTATATGCGTTGAGCGCGCCGAGTAACATATACGGCAATATCTATGTATGGTACCCGCGGGCCAGGGTAAATATATTTTATTCTATAGAGGACGGTTAATCATTCCCGTCACTGTCTACTATATGATAAATGATTATATGAAGGTTTAATGCCGGGTTGTATGAAAAGATAATTAATTTAATGGATCAATATAAAATATAATGGGCCTATCATAGGCCACGAAATCAAGTTTACCGGACCACTAGCTCCACTATTTATTCAATAATAATTTTTTAATTGTTCATGCAGCCCGGCATTAGTGTTTTATGTAAATAAAAGTAGAAAACTATACCTGAGTGTTCTTTTCGCGTCTTATTATAATTACACAAATGCACTTTACAATTATTGCTACTGAATTTCTGTGCAAATGAACTATACAGAAAAACAGAAATTGCAGCAGAATGATTAATGACTAATGAAAAAACATTACTTTGTAGTGCAGTAACCGTTGAACCAAATATTGTAAAGTATGGCTGACTGCCTGACTATAGGTCATACAAAAATACTCATAACTCATCGATGTAATTTTGACATCGGTTATTAATATTCAATATTTTGATATCGAATAAACGGTTTTTCCACAGAATATATGAAATATATATTCTGTGGTTTTTCTTCCCATGGTCTTTGACCTTAGTATTCTGGTTTTTTTGGTGTAACTCAAAAACAATTAGCCATATGGCATATACCTACATACTTGTAGTTTTCACCAAATTGTTAAATTAGTATATTCTACAGAAATGGTAATTTTTTTAATATTTTGACTCTTTTTGAACTACTTAATATATAATATAGTAATATTTTATTACTCTTTTTGAGCTAGGTTTGTAATATTATATATTTTTTTAGAAATTTGGAAGTTCCAATTTGGAAACTTTATATATTTCTTTCTGCATCCCTTGACTGAGAGCAATCAATAAATTTTATAAAAGGTTCGCATATTTCAAATCCATTACAATATCTATATATTTTCTAATTTCATTTATTATGACTTTTATAGTTGAATTGGATACAATATTAAGAATTTAATTTTAGATATCATGGCTAGTATATGATAAATATGCATGATATTTTACATTAAAATCATTGTAAAATAATTACAAAATAGTTTACATAGTTATTAAAATTTCCTTTATTTGAACTTTCTTGTTTTTCATTGTGTCCTCTTAAAGCTAGTCCCTGTCTAGCCAAGTACAAAATAATATCAATAATCTTTTGTATATATATCTGATTATTTAAAATGTCTGTTTTAAATTGATCAGAAAGTTTGGACATTTCCATGGATTTTTAATTGATTATATTGTGTGTATTTTTCTATGCTACTTTAATGGCTTTTACAGTTAGAATGTTTTTCTAATTTATCACTTAATTTTTTCCAATTATTAAAACCAATTTTTTTTTAAATGTCTTCTGACGTATTTAAATTATCAAAATATCTACATGCAAAACAAAATAAGGAATCTTGATGTACACTATATTTAATCCAGAAGCATTTTTCAGTATTTACTAGAATAGTTACTAGATCTAGTTTACTAGAATAGATAAGTGAAACTATAGGTCAGGCTATGGCTTGATCTAATACTTACTTGATAACATACTGACTTAAGGGGGCTGCAGCTCACGTATTTTTCATACGTTTTAGACCAATAAGCGGTGGTAAATTACACATACCTCGGAATGTCCGATTTAAATTTTTTTATACATGTTTGAATTCATTGATAAAATATCTAGGTTTATTGGGAAGTCGATTTTCAATATTCAATTTCAAAATGACCTTAAAATAACCATTTTTTTTTTAGAAATCCCATGAAATAATTGCATTAGGTACATTTGTATATTTATTTTGGGCACATCTGATTTTAAATAAAAAAAGTGATTCCTAAGAAACATAGTCTAGAAGTTTTTTTAATTCAATCATTTTTTCGAAATTACAATCGAACCAAATATGATTAATTTACTACCGCTTCCAGTAGTTTTTTAGTCATGCAAACAAGAATATATTTCATTTTTTGCGATGTATTGACATGTGCGTGCGTGTGTGAGAGTTGTTTCCGGCGCGGTTGCCCGACTCGACGTGACAGCGATTCTCAGAAACAATTAGCAGGTAAGGATTACTGGATAAGTATACAAGAATAATTAATGGGCAACAATAATAATCAATAATAATAATAATATTTTTCCAAAATTAAATACAACCAAATATAATAATATACTAGGTACCTACATGAATCATTTTATTTGAACACTACACTCTGATCAGTGAGTTTCCGGTGGTTTGTGCTTTTTTTCATTCATTTACAAAATGGGTAAAGACTGGTTTAAAATTAAAATTAAAAACTTATATATAATATTTATAATTTGGCATGTTCTAATAAAATGTTCTAGTTTCGCTTATGGTTATATAATATATTTATAAGGATGTTAACGTCACAGCCCACAGATATTATGTATAATAAATTATTTAATACAAAATGATTCTTTTATTAGTGAACAACCAACATTAATCATTAAAAAGTTAACTTTTTTGGTATATTTTAGATATATGCTCATATGCACAGTTTAAACTAGTGATGTGAGTCCCGTAAATTTACCATGTAAAATTTTACCTTTAAAGTAAATTTACAAAAAACAATTTACAATTTACATTTTTTTTAGCGCTCAAATAGTTGAGTGACCACTTTATTTGTATGTTTTTGTATTTTTTTATTAAGATATTAGTATTATAATACAAATCAGGATTTTTATAAAATGATAATGACAGTTACGTGAGACGAATTATTGTGATATGGTGTACGTGGGTAACACGATTTAAGGTAAAATATTAATTTAACAAAAGCTGCTGTTTTCTTTATACTTTAAGATGTTTTATATTTTTTTTTTTTGAAACAGATCAAAATTATTTTAATTTTACTATAATTAATAATTATTAATTGTTAGGTATATTTCTACTTTACCGGCACCCTTTTTTGAAACTTATGTAGTTAAGTACGCTGAAAACGAAAGTAAAGTCCGAATTTGGCAAACGGACTTCGTTTTGAAGTAATGGCCTAATGAAGTTCACTATTTCGGAGAGCAGCGATGAGTGCCGTAAAACGTGTAATCACCGCCTATACGGCTATACGGCTGATTGGGCTTTAGCCCTACCTGAGCTTTTTTATACGTGGGTGGGTTGGTACCTTATGAAGACATGACTAAAAATAGGTATATAGCCTTTTTAGATTTTAAACGTTTGTGTTTACCCGAGAGACTAAACAGGGCGATTTATTTAAAATTAAACACTCATTATTTCAAAAAGTGTGAATGTTTTTGAAAATATTTTTTTACGTAGTTTTGAGTCGTTTACAAAACAACTTTGTTATTAAAAAATTATATTTTAAAATATTTTTATCCTTCTAATTTTTTTGACAACATAGAGTTTGAATTTCATATGCCAAAGTAGAATATTTTTCTAAGTATTTCGATACATAAAAATCTAATTAGTCTAGTAGTCTATGCGTTATAAGTATATTTAAAGTTTATATGAGCCCAGTTGACCCCGGCAAACAATGGTGTCTTGTTTCATATTTGTTTTTCATTGTCTTTTAACAATTGATTTAGCTGAGCATTTTGAAATTTGAGAAGCTATAATATTTTCCACTTGTGAAATTGAATCTTGATATATAGAACTTGGTGTATGGTTAGTCTCAGCAGTCTGCGGCCTTTCTTTTTAATTTTTTTTATGACATTTTTAATTTTTTTACATTCAAATAGCTGATCCCATGCACTTCGTTTCCCGTTAAATGTACCAACTCTATATGACTCAAACATTGTTCAATGCGTTATTTAATATTCGGTGTATGATGTTCTAGATTTATCTTAACTTTTCTGTTGCCCGGAATAAAAATTCTGAATTGCAGCAGTACATTATCAGATAGGTAATTTACCTGCGGTAGATCGCGGACCCCGTGCTGTTTGTACGTAAGTGTATGATTCAACTCAAAAAGTACCAAAGTTATACCAAGTTTGACGTTTTTACTTAATTCCACCTACCTATAAATCCTAACCTAACATAACCGTACTAAAATCCGATGAATAAAAAAAACCAAATTTAAGCGTAAATTAGCGTATCTTCTTCCCATAGGTCTAATCTACACACCGTCATTCATTTATATATAAGATATATTTACAACAAATAATAATACAAATCAACAAACATGCCCGATTAACCAATAGCAACCAATATAATATAATACACCATAGAGTAAATAAAGACAACGGTATCGAGTTCAAATCCCAGACATCAATAAATAGTTTGTGCAGTTTTTCTAATTATTCGGTTGACTTTTTAAAAATTTTCTTTCGTAAAAACCTTCACCTGGCAATTACGAAAATCTTAAAAAAAATTTGAGCAAAATCGGCCCAGCCGTTCTCAACTGATGCAATTTCGAATTTTTTGTCTCCATTTTTATATATATATAGATTATCTGCGAAATTTGGCCATGACAGTGATCGGAAATACTAAACGGCTTACCATTATCATCGGATATGTGTGTTGGCAATCAATCATAGTAGTTTGGAACTTAGTTGCACAGTCGTGACATCTCCAATAATAAACTATTTTGCCATCAATTTTACGATTATAAATTTTATTAAAAACATAAAAACCCGTTTACCTCTAACATATCATGTTTTTGATGAGTTGATTTCATCAACGTCAATGTAATATTAGAAATTGTATTTTGCATTTCAGCCAACAATTTATTATACAATAATATTATTAATTTCAAAATACTTTTATTGATTTAAAATTATAAAGTAAAAACAAATAAAGAAATAATAACAAATAGTAAGAACAAATCGACATTAGACACTATAAAGATTAAAGTTATTATTTATGTACTTATACAATCAAAATATAATTAAAGGTTCGACAATATTTTTATTTTTCTACAGCCTTTGTTTGATCTGGTGTTGTGATGAAATTTATTTGTATGTGTCAGTGTACCATAAATTTTAAATCTTATAAAAAGGTTTACTAAAAATTCATTTGGGAAATTATCACACGGATGAGCGAAAAAAATATAATTGATCATTTTATCTTTTAATTTCTGCCCAACATGTTCCTCCAGCATAATTTTTTTAAAAAATGTATTAAAAACGTTGTCCAATTGAAAAATGTATTGAAAAAAATCAGAACCTTGCATTACCGAACTACCAAATAGTGAGTCTGAGTCAACAGCGAGTGATTCAAAGTTTATAAAAAGTTTATTATCTGTGAGGTGTGTTGATGAATGTGCATATTCAAAGCATTTTTCACAATTGTGATACTTTAAGCATTTACTCAATAAAAAGCCACAAATGTATTTGAAAGCATTTTGCTCTGGTAATTCTAAATTTTGATATATTGTGTTTTCAACAGGCAGTGCTTGGACATTTATTATTGGATTATTTCCAGTAATTAATAATTGTACCTTTGATAAGGAATCATCATCTAAATTTGCCAACATACTATCCACATCATCGATACAATTAGCATTTTCTAAATGTTGAAAATAATTAAGACTAAAAAGCTTCTTAAAAGTTCTTTTAAACTGAATTGGAGTAGGATTTATACAGTTACCATTTTGAGTTCGAATTATACCGAAAAAGTTTTCTAAACAATATTGGTTAAGTTTGCTTGTATAAATTGTCTGAACTTTATTGTTTTCTTTTGATAAATTACTATGAAGTCGAAGTAAGCCTGCAATTGAAACTAACCAACCATGGACAAACATTATATTATAAGTATTAATAACATTATCCCATGTATTAGTTATTGTATTAAGTTTTAAAATTTTTAAATTAGAGAAGTATTCTGACATTTTACTTAAAAAATCAGCTTGAAAACTTAAATTTTTGAATGGTGAATTGAATGGTTCGACGTCATGATAAACTTCTGATTGTTCATTAGTAGATGAACGAGAATTAAATAAATCAAACAACTTATTCATGGAATCGATAAAATCTATAGTACCTTGAGCTGTTGATGGCAATACTCCTAAACACAACAAAGTTTCTAAACTAACAGCAACTGTGTGACTCATTACTTGAGAAGCATATTTCACCCGCATCTTTTGGAATGAGTTAGGATTTAAGTGGATTTCAGTTAATTTTGGAGCAAGGCGTGTAGTGGAATTTTTTTCAAAGTTAAATAAGGTTTGAAGGTGAACTTTTTCTGCTACTTTATTACCAGATTGAAATTTATATGAAAAAAAATTATTTCTTGTAGCTTTCAACAAGTGTGGGGGATCAAACATAAAGATAATCTCTTTAGTACCTACATTGAAGTATGGTTTACTAGGAGATATACCTAATGTTGTTGCAAAACGTTTAAAGTTGGAACCAAGGTCAGAAATTAAAACTTTAACATTAAATGAAATTTTTTCTAATGTATTAATACAGTTAAATATTATATTTTTTAAATCATCGCCAACACAGCTAGTGCTAACAAAATAAAATGCTAATGGTTGCTTCCATTTGTCATTTAAACCTCTGATCATGATCACCATGACAGATTTAGCCAATTCATCAGTTTTTATTAATCCAGTATCATGAAAGCCGTGAATTACATCTTTTTTTGTATGATAGTAAACAAAAGATTTAAGTGACATTTCATCAATGCACATAACACATTGTTTTGATTCATTAGACATATGTTCCGATTTTAACTTCAATACTTCAAATACAAACTGATTGAAACCTGCATTGATTTCCCAGCGCTCACTGACCCTTTGTAGCATTTCAATATTAGGAAGACCCCAAGTGGGCTTTAAATATTCATAAACTATTGGTCCAAAGAAACATATAGTCAAAGCAAATTGCTTGAATTCATCAGCATATCTATTTTCCATATTTAAATTTAATTTAACAAAATTTGACATTTCAGGACTCAAAAAGTTATCACACATTAACTTAAAATTAGATAGACTAGAAGCATTACTCAATTCCTTTTGTAATTTGTTAAACTCAGTTTGGAGATTTTCATACTTTTGTTTTTGGGTTATTAACTGTTCTTTCAATTTCTCTTTTCTTGGTGTATGTCGTGATAATATTTGAGGAGTTTGTGTTGAACCACTGGAATATATTGATTGTGATAGTTGATCTTCTAATAAATAACCATAAAATATTATTGAAAATTACAATGTTTCAGCACACTGAGTACTATTACAAGTGTTTGTACAATTGTATAATATTTTGTATTCTTAATTTGTAGTAAATTATTTTTCTTACCTGTTATTGATGAAGAACATGCCACTCTACTGATACCAGATATATTACTAATTTCTGCACAGTCGGGTAATGATGAGATAGTATATTCTCTATTGATTTCAGAAGTATTTACTAAACTGCATTCTTCATCTGGCAAGTCCAAAATGTCATTTTCAACAATATTTTGTGATGCAGACATTTCACAAATATTTGTACCTTTTAAATATAAATTAAAACTAAATTATTACCAAATTCATTATAAATTAAAATAAAAACTATTAACATACTTGATGTATGTTTTTGATGATCAGTTCCAGCACATTTTACAGTCCAACTAAATATGCTCGGTATAGCACGATCACAGAGTTTACCAGTAGATGAGTAACAATGTGGTTCAAAATGTATGGAACATAATCTTTGAGAGTTGTTACACTTGCCATATGCATTATCAACCAAATCGAAACGATGACATAATTTTGCCCATTTATTACATCTAAACATGTATTTTGGGTTTTATATATCGTTATAATAATATATTATAATATGATTTTATAATAAAAAGTAAAAACGTAGGTAGGTAGTATAATTTACTTACAAATCAATATTTTTTGGGAATCTATGGTAAACAATGTCTCTTGTTTTGTTTTTTTTGTTTTGGCACATCGAAGAAGAACAACGTACAACCATTTTAATTAAATGTAAATTAATATAGCAAGGTACTTTCGAAAAACAAAAAAAAAAAAAAATCAAAGCACAAAATTCTGTGAACACGGCACAGACCGAATTAAAAAGATTTACAAAAAAATACAATTTAAAATTAAAATTAAAATAACGTTTCTTTGTAAAAAAAAACGTTACTAACTTCAAGGAAGAGCCTCCAGTGATTTGTTTGTAACTTCAAGTCTGAGCCTCTACTATGTTATCACACACGAGAGTGTCGTTTCTTGTTTGTTCTTTGCTAATATGTTGCAAAAAAAAATGATTACATTACAATATTCTCAATAGCTGAATGAAAACCATATACATACCTAGAAGTAGTAACTGAAGAAAATTGGACACAGGGATCCTCTTGTCATACCATCATCCACAACTCTAGTTATAACGCCACAGCTTTTTCTCAGTGCTCTACAATCTACATCCTCTATTTGTACTGGCCACTAAACAACCTTCAGTGGTTGCCATGGGTACTTGATAAAACTCATCATCCACAAGTAATGGTCCAGCTACTCCAACAGGCATAGGTAAATATCCTATACAGTTCTCAATATTGGTTACCTAGAAGAAATTTCAATAATACAGTCATACAGAATATTATTCCCTAGTCTCTACTATATAATTTATCAGTTGCTCTTTACTTTAGAATAATCATAATCCCACATAACAAATATATTTTGAATAATTTTTGCTCCATTAAGCCAGTGTTTACAGTGTAGACTCTACACAAAATGCAATTTCAAAGTAGTAGTTAATTAGTTACAACTCACAACATTAAGTACCTTTATTAAGTTTATAAGAGCAGAGTAGTGACTAGTGGGCTTATATTTTGAGGGGTACGAGGAAGGTGCCCTCCACTCCGCTCACCTAAACTTTAAATATGTATTTATAAGTTATAACTAATTAACAATTAATTACAAGTTAAAATTTGATTTAAGAGGACGTCGCACCCGCTTGTGTGGTCTCCGTCTGTACACACGTACGACATAGACAAAACGCGTTTACACAGTCTAAGTAGAAATCGCTCAACTTTTGTGTTAGAATAAAAACACCTTTTACAAAATTAAAATATGACAACATTTTGGAGGTCAAAACTTGAGTTTTTTTTTTTAAATTAAAATTTTGAAAAGTTAAAGGTATTTTAAAAATGTTTAAATGTTTGCTATTTCTAAACGACATAATAAATGTTATATTAGATATAATTTTTCCTTATTGCTTATGTTAAAAAATATTGGGAATATTATACTTTGCGAATGGGGGGGGGGGGAAGTACCAACTACATCCAAATTATTGTTATATGTACCTACTACCAACTAGTTTAACTTCATTTGTTAAGTATTACTTTATTAAGCTGCATATTGTTATAATTTCGGTTATAATAGATATATGTAGTAACTAGTATTTAATGCTAGAATTTTAGGTACCTATGCCAATGTCAAGAAAGATGACTTGTGTTGTTATAACTTATAAATATACCAATGTTTGGACTATGTATAGTGTTTGTTGAAAAATTGTCATTACTGTATGAACGAGCGGTAGTACAATAAGATAATAATTATCATCTTATTTAAATAACTCTGACCAAAACCAAGTACAATGTTATTTAAATGATAAGTACATAGTATATACTATGTTCTTATCTAAAGTACATAGTATAATAAATACTATGTTCAAAATAAGAACGGAAGCCGGTGGCCGAGTTCTCCGACTTTGTTCCGTAGCAGCGCCCGACGCCTCGCCGTAGTGGGGACGGCGTCTGACCATAGGTCTGGCCGCCACCGACTACTGTTCTTATTTTGAACAGACTATAGATAGTAATTATTAAACAGTAAACAGTTTATGAATAAACCAACAAATAAAAAGAACTTAACGTAGATTAGACAAAAGGTTAGCCATACAAGTTTAATTTACTCCGTGTATGGGGATGGCTTAACTTTTATAAGTTGAGGAGCCAGGTTGTCCGATCGGAGCGTTCTTGAAGTTTGATAAATTATTTACTGGTCACTGGCCGATTGCATACTACCAAATACGTTTTGTTAATTGGATTTTTCGACGTGATATCAAAGCCCAAAGGTATCTATAATTACACGCCACGGCCACACACCGGATCGTCTTCGTTACTTAGGCGTAGAAATGTTGCGAGTTCGTGAACGACGGTTATGATAAAAAACACGACAAGTGTGAGGTTGAGCGTGATTAAAAGACACGAGAAAAAAAAACCACAACGATCAACAAACAAAAATAAAAGACCAAAAGTATATCACCAAAGTACGAGACCGATGACGAAAAGGAAATGTCAAATTGCCGGTATCTGCGGGCGGCGGGCCGTGAACAGAAAAGTAAAATGTGATAAGTAAAAGTGCGTCCGATAACAATGGGTTTGCGAAATAATTGCGCCTTCGGTAATGGGGTCGGTACCTTTTGTTCCAAAAGGTATTTGTTCCAATATACTTTTATTCCAAGAAATTGTTATTCCAAAGTATATTTGTTCCAAAAAATAACTGTTCCAAAATAATTTTATTTTGACGTACGATAACGGAGCTGATTAGCATTGCGATTCACCTAACCAGTACCACCACCGCCCGTCTCTAATTTATCATTTGACCATGACTGTCCGACGGTTAAAAAACTCGTTGTCAAATATTATTAAATAAATAATAATAAATGTTAATGTTAACGGCGTATTGAAACTAAAAGACGTGTTATAGAGTGTTTTAATTATTATACCCAACTATACATAACGTTTTTATAGACGTCACCTCGCTCGTTCGTCAAAACGTAAAGTCGCTTATATTAAAAACATGAACTCTGTTTCGACCGAGGAAACCGATCATAATAAAGTGAGCTTTGACCACCGATTAAATGGTTGCACGCCCGCACGAAAATAACATTTCAATAACCTTTTGCCGTTTACATTTTTTTAGATGTCAAAGAAAGGAATAAGGAAGTTTTTGCACAACCTGCAACCATCAAGCTCCAGCAAGGAAAGCTTGGTGGGTGCTGGCAGGACATCGCAGGACATAGCGTGAGTGTTTGCCAATGGTGGCATTGCTTGTATTTGTGTTTTTACATAATATTTAATTATTTACATGTTCTTCTGTGTGTAGAATCGACGATAAAACCTCAAAACCTGAACAGACATTCGTCAAGACGGAAGAACATGCTAAAGAAACATCAGCTTCTGTTGTTTCGTCGCTGTACGTACAATTGTTAAATGAAGATCTCACTTCTGAAGGTAAGTAAACAAACATCCAGTAGAATAAAATCAATTTTATGTTTTTGTATGCCCTTATTTTTCATAGCTGGCCCGAGTGAAAAATATTGGGAAGTGATCTCTGAACGTCGAAGAAAAGCTTTATTAGAAGCATTGGAAGAACATCAACGATTACAAGCATTAGCTATGGCTTTAGAAGAAGAGAATTTGTCTTTGGGGGTATCGGTTGATAACACTACTCATATTGTCAACATACTTAAGGTAAATATTTTTCATGGTATTTTAAACCTAGTATATTATGAGGTAAACAAATGGTTAGTCTTGCTGCTAATGATGTATGGAAACGAAAATATTATAATTATATTGTAAGAAGACATTTACTCGCCAGTTGCAGCACGCCATTAGCACTTCAGAGTACTACTATATTATTATTATTAACATGGTTAGCAAAGAGTGTGTATATGTGGCCTGCAATAGGTACGTGCACAGAAGCCTGAACTGTGTTGAAACTTGAAACTTATAGGAATTTATAATCGATGTTGTTGGAGTGGAGCGGTTTATAGATACCCAACAAAATATGTTGGTCAACTACTCCGCCAAAATCTATTATAAATATTTATAAGTAATAAACTACTTGTATAAAGTTTGATATTGATGGATCAAAATGCTTTAAATTATTATATATACTCTGAAATTAAAAATGTATGTTGTTATTCAAAGAATAAAACATTTAAAAAATAGTAAATACTATAATGATTTTCCAAAAATTATGTTAAAGGAATATTTTCACAAATATTAGCTTTTTCTGAAAATATTGAGTATCTTACATTAAATTAATCACCCTATGTAATTAATGCGGAATAACTAATATAATAATTTATTAATTATGGAAACTGAAAAACATTTTTTTTTTTTTTTTTGATTCAAAACTATCACTGCTCACACGTTTTTACAAATAATCAAACTTTTAAAATACAGTTAAAACTAGTATATAATATATAAATATTATGTCTGAACTATGTTTTGTTAATTTTTAAAAGCTTTTCTTTTAAAGTATGTCTTATTGTTTTTAATATTATATACAAAAAAACTTTAATGTTATTATTTAATTGTATTATTTATTATTTGGTTTGTTAATAAGTTGTTTCATTATTATTTTTTTTTTTGTTTAATATCTATCTCAATCTCAATTAATGTTACTCGATGATTTTATTTACTATTATTGTTTTTAATGTGTTAATAATAAACACTTTTAAGGGTGATAAAGTTATATTAAAATATGTTTGGTTAAAAGTTAAAACATTGTTATACAAAATAATGAAAGTTACTGATTTTTTTTTAAATTAATTATTAATGCTTATAATATATCAATGATCAGAAATATGTTAAATACAATTAAATCATGATTTGTTTTCTTAAAATATAAGTTTTTTAAATAACTTAAAAATATAAAAACATTTTCAAACAATGTAACATATAAATAAAACCATTTTATATATAAATTACACTATAACTCATATGTAAGTATACAATTTTACGGCACAACAATAAGACAACTAAGTATTATTTTTTGGATTTAAGAGGTAAAGAATTTGTTTTGATTATTTAGTTATAGATTTCAATCATAAATACAATAATAGAGTAAATATAATTTAAGTTCATTTTAAGGTCTTTATTAATTTATAGAACAATTTTTAATTCTTCCTGATAAATTGTAAAAATTTGAGATGTCTGATTGTTGCTCCTAAGACTTAAATTATTAGCCATGGAACGTATGGTCCCTGGCGTATTGACTGTGAGACATTTTGTCCCTTCGGTTTTGATATATTAATATATCTTCACCTGGTAATAAAATTGGTATTATTGTCATTGTCTTAATATTTAATTGTTTCTTAAGAAATGTATACAATTTATTATTTAAGAAGCTGTGAGACCTAAAGTCCTATAGTCAATACATCAAATGGCTAATAGTTTCCGTGCACCAAAGAATCAATCTTAATATTTAAAGATTAAAAATACCTGTCCTCATTTTTTTTTTATCGGGGATGAAACATCCTAGATTTGTTTTATCAATATTTTAATGTCATCTGAAGAGTATTAAATATTGTAGTGATTATTTTTCAAATTTTGATGGGTATCTATAATAATCAGAATCTAATATTTATTTTAGTGCATTATAATTACAATTTATCTGCTATATAATTCGGGTCTATGGGAATATTCTTTCTAGATATATAAAATAGTTTTTATATGATTTAATTTGATTAATAGTACATACATAATTATATAATTTTCCTAAATGTATGTACATTTTACTCATACTCCCAGACACTAATTATCTTCTTTTAATTATGTTCGGCTACTGTGTAATATTGATTTATTGCATTTTTAAAACATTTAACCTTTATTATTTATATTTATCACTGACGTGTCATCTTTATGTTTCATACAGGAAATGATGAATGAGGAGACTTCTGATGACAATCATGAGCCATCTAATGAACAGGAAGATAGTGATTTGAGTACACCCGATAGTTCAAGTGTTAAACATATACATAAGAAAATGAAGAGGTCACCAGATGATACTTCAGATATCGACTAAGAAAGTTAATTTATACCTATACTTAAGAATTATATCTAAATTATAATTTACTAACATAACAATAACATTATTTTGCCAAAAATCACAAGTTTCTAGTAGGTTTATGTTAATTTATTTATAGCCATAAGGATATTATATTAATTATGTTTAATAAGTATTATAAGTATATTTTTATTTCACATTAAATCATAGAAATGTTTGGTATATTGAAGTAATATGGTACTACCTTGTAATTAAGGTAGACAAAATAGTTGTTTATATTGTTAAAAAATAATAATTGCCAATCATTTTAACTGTGAAATTATAAAATTAATAAATTATATTGTAAAAATGAACACAGTATTTATTCTAAAAATAATGTATATAATATATAACTTTATATTTCTAAAAGTTAAAACTTGTCTACATTCTTATTACAATATAAATAAATAATTATTAAGTAACGGCTATTAATCGGGTAATCACGTAGTTACTTTATTAAGAATGACAAATGACAAATTTTAATGGCACAAAACATTATTTTTATTTCATTAATATATTTTGTATTTAATGAAAAATAGTTCTTTATTATTTCTATGTGATAGTTACTAATTATAACATTTTGTACTTTAAAACAAAAATGGCTTATTCTGTATTTTCAATATTTGTTTCAATAATAGTCGAGAAAGATTTTCTATTTAGATTATGGAAAATTCAAAACAGAGGAATATATTTATAGATAAGTGTTACTTGTGTTATATTAAAAATACTCATGGTATATAAAAATTAAATTATTAAACCAGAATAAAATTCAAATAAAATGTAATAAGTTAAATTTAATTTAATAAAACGATTATATTAAAATGTTTTTAAATATCTATGTACTTAATATTAATTGAATATTTTTTAAAAATAAAACTTCCTCTACTCTGATCCACTAAAAACAAAAGTTTATAAATAAAAACATAACATTATTAATTTTTTCTAAAACTGTGTACAACATTTTTAGAAAGAAGTTGGCCAACCATTTTATAATTGGTACAATGAACTGATAATATTCTGCTTTTCAGAAACAACAAAATATATATTAATCTTTTAAATAAAATAGTTTTATTTTTATACTTATAGTTGTACGCTTTTAAAAATTTTATTAAAAAACATTAATGTACTATAATAGCACTATATAATTAACTTTTAATTTGAACACAATAGTATTAAAAATTCACAAACAAATTTTATAAATCAGCTTTTGATTTATTCTAAATGGCTAAAAACCATCAAAATCATCATATTCATTTTCTTCATCATCTTTATTCCAACCTATACTCCGGTCTATTGCTTTTTTCCACAAAATGTACTCGGATTTTTGTTCTAGAAGAACAGAAAAAAGATTATAGATTATTAAACTTAATTATTATTTGAGTTTTTTTAATTATTATTTGTCAATTTTACTATCAATTTGTGTATATTTTTAAATTTACAATAATCTGATGAACACTTAATTTATTAAATACTTGCCTTCTTCTGATAAAGTCTGAATAAAAGTGTCACAGTTTGATTGAACACTGTGCATACTCCATATACCAACAGCAAAACCAGCTGCCAGAGCAGCGCCTAGAGCTGTAGTTTCCACCATTTTAGGGCGCACTATTTAAAAGACAAATATAAATATTAGTTGGATTCGGTAGTTATACCTAGGAACTAAAATTGACTAAAACACTAAATATGCAAAAAACAATAAAAGATGTTAGGTATTCAAAAATTTTTTTTCAAATGGACTATTGATTATAAACATAGTTGTATAGTTAGTACATTACTTGACTAAAAATTATTTACAATATAAAGAAAAAGAAAAATCTGACATGTAGAAAACGTCAGGTTGCTGAACGCGATGTTAGTTATTTAACTGAAAAGATATTGTCGGTAGATAGAATTAATAAATCTATATTTTCAATATTTGTGGAGTTGTATACTAAAAATGTCTAAAATATATTAAGTCATAAAATAAAAATAATTTTTTTGCACTTTCTGTTTTTATTCTATAATGGACTAATTAATAAAAATTTGTATTTTGAATTTTTGAATTCGTCACTAACAATTTTAAATAAAATTAACTATTTCAAGTTCGTCTGGTAAATCGAGAGTATTTAAAAAAAAAAAAAAAAATACAATTTCTACAACTATGAGCTCTAGTTATTAATATTTGATGGTGAAAATTTGCCATAGGGTTTACAAAATCATGATAAAATAATATACATTTATAGAATTGTGTATGTAGCTCAATACTAAAACTTGAAACAAATGAATACATGCATAAATTGTGATTTTAATTTTGTTTATAGTGTGTGCACCACCAAATTATGTCAGGTATTAAATATTTTTTCTCTAGGTTAATAACAAGGATATTTTAGCTTACATTTGATCTAAAATGCTTGTGATTTGAACAACTTACCAACAGGAAGACAACAAACATTTGTGAGAATCTTCAAAAATGTATCGCTAGTAGACATACCGCCATCAACATTCAATGCTGTAATAGGATGACCAGTGTCTGACTGCATAGATTGCATAACATCTTTTGTCTGGAAACAGATTCCTTCGAGAGTTGCTCGCATTAAATGTGCGTCTGTTGTCTCCATAGTCAACCCTGTGATAGTTCTGTATAACATAGAAGATTAAACCAGGTTAATTAATCAACTTTTTACTATTAAAATTGTATTTTAATTTAATGACAGTAAAATTATATTTAAATGCTTACAAAGAAACATGAATAGTATGAGACATTATTATTTATATATAGTAATTTATTGGCTATTGCCCTTCTTCATCAAATAAAAAAAATCAATATGTAGACCAAACAGAATTGTTAAAATAAAATAGATTAACAGCGACCACAAAAAAAAAGATAAATAATTTGTTGTTATAATGCTACTAACCCACGTGCGTCACTTTTCCAATATGGTGCATAAAGTCCAGAAAAAGCAGGAACAAAATGAATTCCATTTGTGTCTTCAACACTATCGGCCATTACCTCCATGTTCTTGAAACTATCCACGATACATAGATTATCTTTCAACCACTTTGTAGCAGATCCAGCTACAGCCACTGATCCTTCAAGCGCATAAATGGGATCGGTTTGTTTGCCCATCTTGTAAGCCACGGTAGTTAAAAGGCCGTGAGTTGAAATCACTGGCTGAATAAAAGAAAATGGATCATTTTTTAAATCTGACAGAATATAAAATGAATTAGTTTTACTAATTCTAAGTATTTTGTTCAGTTTCGTATGGTAGTGTGGAAATAGAGTCTAGTATTTTTTTTATATTTTCCTTAATATATGCAAGAACTATTAATAATTGTTTGAACTACCAGAATTGTTCAGCAGTAATTTATCATCTCTTTAAATAAAATATCAAGATTATTAAAATAATATCCTAACACCAAGTGTCTATATCCTGTCTAGAATTTTTATTTCCAACTTAAAAGAATAAAACAAAATATCATGCTCACCTTACGACCAGTGTTGTACAACAAAAAGCACCCAGTACCGAATGTGCACTTGGCTTGACCTGCCAAAAAACACATTTGGCCCATAAGGGCAGCTTGCTGATCACCTATGCACTATAACAATATATTAATACAAATAATACAAATAATACAAATTTGAGAATCCTCAAAGAAGGTAAAATGTATGATTTATAAAGTTACAAATAATATATTAGTACCCCAGATATTGGTGTTTCTGATAGTGGTCCGTCAGTCATACGACCGTACACCTCCGAACAGCTTCGTATTTCTGGATATAATAATTTGCTTGGCATTTCAAAAAATCTGAAACAAAATATAAATAAATTACAATGACATGTTCAATAAAATTAGATTATTTATAGTAAAAACATAATATACCTTCATATACTATTAATTTTAATATATAGTTAACAATAATTGTAGAGGAGGAAGGAGCAATCTAATTCACATTCTTATATATTATTTGAAGTTTAGTATTTGCATTATTAAATTATTTGGTTCAAAGCAGTTTCAGGAAAATATAAAAAATTAACCTATTCAAATGTTTCAAAAAGACTAAGTTGAAATAATGATTTAAAATAAAAAACAAATGTTGGCTTCTTGATAATTAAAACAATAAAATATAAGTGTACATAATACTATACTAAAATAGTATTAATAATAATACAGTCCATATAAACTTACAACTATTACAAAATATACATACTCAATCAATGCCTTATCCCATCTTAATGAGTGAATATTCATCAGCATGGTCCGAGAAGCATTAGTAACATCGGTTATATGAACTCCTCCATTTATACCGCCTGTTAGATTCTACAAACAAAGTAAATACCACTTAGTAGTTACAAGTGGACTTTAGAAAGCAACACATAGCACAATTATTTATTTTTTCTAAGATTATGTTTAATATAATATTTAATAATGAATCAAACCCAAGAAAGTGGAATATTAATAGTTTTTACTTGGATGATGCTATAAATTATGAATTTTTTTAATTTTATTCATAGTAAATATAATCGAAAAAATGAATACATGGTTTTTAAAGATTAATATTAGTGATGGGAACTATCGAATAGTCACTATCGAACTATTCGATAGTAGTTCACTATTCGAACTATTCGATAGTCATTCCAAAACTATCGAACATTCGAATAGTCACCATATATTCGATAGTTTTAAAACTATCGAATAGTCTATTCGAATAGTTTATCGAATAGTTTATCGAATAGTCTATTCGAATAGTTTTATCGAATAGTTTTATCGAATAGTTTTCATTCGAATAGTTTATCGAATAGGTAGTTTTCAATTTTTCATTTGATTGTTTATTTATTTCGAAAGTTTATTTATTATTAGTTTATCGAATAGTTTTCAATGTTTTCAATTTTTCTTTCAATAGTTTAGTTAATCGAATAATTTTTATTTTTTATTCATTCGAATTTTGATTGGTTGTAACTTTTAAGTTTTAACTTGTTTGTTATCTTATATTTGATACATAAAAATAAAAATGTATTTTTATCCATAGAAGAAATTACATCAGATTTAAATTTTAGAGTTCTTCAAATATCTCTATGAACAAAAAATGTATTTACTTTCTAAATTTTAATGTATAATTATTAATTACTAATTTGTAAAGATAATTTTCTACAGCTTATATTTTAAAATTTTCTATAGACCAATACAAAATTACATTTTTATAAAAGTTATGGTATTTTTCTTTAAGTTAGACTTTTGTTTGAACATAAGAATATTAAATATAAAAAGGAAAAAGAAAAAACTCAATTTTAAAGTGAATTATCAAATCATAAGTTAGTTTTTTATGTATTAATATTAATATATTAATATATTAAATTAAAATATATTAATTAAGATAAATTTTATTGTAAAGAATACTAAAGAGTAAAGATCACGTCATGGTCACTTAATTAGTATTTAATATTTACTATTTATTACTTGGTATTATTTTTTATTATTTATTAAATTGTATGCATTATTAAAAAAAAAATTGTTTATCGATCTTAAGCTTTGGAAATTGGAATACGTGTTTAGGTGGGGACAATGATTCATCGCTAAAAAGTAAAACGTCAGGTGGTCAAGAAATAAATTATGAATTTAAATTTGAAATATCAAAATTCCAAATAGTCCGTATAAAAAAAACTATTCGATAGTGCTATTCGAATAGACTATCATACTATTCGAATAAACTATTCGATAGCGCTATTCGAATAGACTATTCGATAGTGCTATTCGAATAGACTATTCGATAGTGCTATTCGATAGTTTATCCAACTATTCGATAGTTTTTATTGAAAAACTACTAATCGGTTATACTTAAAAACATTCGAATAGTATTCGATAGTTTAAAAAAACTATCGAATACTATTCGATAGTGTAAACTATTCGATAGTGCCCATCACTAATTAATATACACTTTTGAAGTTCAATTTATTTTTATCATGTTTTTGGGCTGGGTAAAGATATTTTTATTGTCTATAAGATTTTCTGTAAAGCTTTGTTTATCACCATAGAAACGAATAAAATGTAAAAATTATCTAATTTCCACGAGGTATATATTATTATGCAATTAATGACTACTTATTAATACATATTTATGATTCATACATTTTCTTCAAAGTGAAAATATCGAGTGGCATGCTACATCTATGTCACATGATCACCACACGTCCACACCTGTACTTTTTTTTATTAGCTTTAAACTAAAAGTTATTATAGCTCAACAATTTAAGTTTACCGAGTGCAAGCAACAATTACAGAACTACAGAACACTTTCATTAAATCTCAGTAGGTGCACTTCTAACTGATAATATATAAAATCAGGTAACACTGAGGATACTGGTATCATTAAGAAAAGTTTTTTTACAACAAAATTATCCAATGAAACCAAAATGACAGTTTAAGTTGAATAACATCGGGTTTGTTATTATTATAATTATTATTTTATTTTTGAAATTATTATTTTAATGCATTTTTCAGTTTTTTTATTTATTTATAGAGCATTTTTTTGATATTATAAGGTAAATTTTTCATATTTTTACACACTTCATGATATTATAAGAAAATTTGATAAGATTTATTTTGATTTTCTTCTGAAAGAAAAACATTAATTTTTATTTTTAAAATGTATTATGGCTTTACATACCGATTTTTATTAATTTTTTGGAAATATTTTTTAGGGTAGGAAGAAGATAAAAGAAAAAGAAAAATATTCATTAATCATTAAAAATGTATATAATAAAGTTTTTTTTTCAATGTTCAGGGTGTTTTTTTGGTTTTATAGAGAATTTTAACCCTAGATACGAGTATATTTTACAGTATTTTCGCTTTATTTTAGGTACATAAAATGTATATTTTTAAGAATATTTTGTGTGATTTTTAGTGTTAAAGTTAAAGCCATACTCATTAATTAAATACATATTACAACTATTTAATAGTATGTTACATTGTTACAAGGAATATTTGCTAGCTGAACATTCAATAGAATGGAATATGTTATAACTTAATGTAATAAACTTTAAAAAGTTTTTTTATACCATAAAAGACGTTAAATTGATTTCTAATAACAATGTATTAACTAGTAGATTCATTTTTAATAATGTTTCATCAACACTTATATACACTTAGATTATTAGTTATTACCCAAATTAGCCATGAATCCATTGTACCAAACATACACCTCTCTTCTTGAATGGCTTTTGAAACTTCGGGTACATTTTCCATTAACCAAACTAATTTGAACACACTAAAGTATGGATTCATCGTTAAACCGCATTTGAATTGTAAATGCCTATTAGATGATTTACAAAAAAACAAAACAAATATTAGTAGTGATACATGATAATAGAACTATGATACAATTATAGAAAAAATATATGTACTTTTGTTATATGATCTGATAGTATCTTAAAATGTAAAGTAAAAGTGAAGAATAGTAAATGCAGTTGGATTAAAATTTGAATAGTAGTGTAAAGTATATAAGCTAAGTTATGTAGAAACTAATTTCAATAGAACAGTGTCTATAAATATTAAATAAAGTTAGAAGTTTTAAAATCAATATTAATGAACTTACTATAGTACAATGTATACTGTTCTGTTTAAATATTAACTCACCTTTTTTTTTCGTCTAACGTATGGCAGTTAGGAATTCGTTTGTTGATGAATCTATCAACTATTGGTTGTGTTCTCATATCCATCCATACTATAGAAATGTAGTTGTTTAAAATTAAGATTTTGTGAATATAAAATTAAAATGTCTTATAACTATTTATTTTTACTTAGACTGTAGGGCTGCCACCTCGGCTGCCACTGTGTTCATATATTTAAAAAGTGAACAAAGTGACTTTAACCTCAACGCAAATCTCAAAGACTAGTTGCGCCTATTGCAACTTGGGTAAAAATTATGAAAAAAACTAATTATGTATCTATAAAATGTATTTAATCACAAACACCTAAAATACACAAGTAAACTCACAAGTATCTTTTTAAAAATATATTTTACTATAGCCTAGCTGGTTTTAAAGCTATTTTAATGATTTTAAACACTAAAATTGTCTGAGTAGTCAATTTTGGTTCTAGAGTGAAAATACCTATTATAAAATTAAATTGTGACAATATTTCTGAGGGCAAGTTGTTGCATTTTTTTTTAAATTTAAATTTTTAAAACTTAAAAGTATATTAAAAATGTTAAATTTTTTATATTTCTAAACTTTATAATGAACGTTATATTGGGTATAATGGAAAAATGCAACGACTAGAAATGACTAGAAATATTGTTACAATTCAATTTTATAATAAGTATTTTTACTCTAAAACCAAAATTGAGCGAGTTCTACTCAGACTGCGTAAACATGTTTTGTCTATGTCGTAGGTGTTTAAGACAGATACCACACATGTGGCTGTAACGTCCTCTTAATGATTTTAGATTCTGAGCGAAGCGATAAATGGTACTGGTTTTCAATGTGTTTTTTTTTTTTATTATTTAGGATATTAGTTATAGTTACCATAACGATACAAGTCTATTATAATATTATGCATAATAGATTTTATATTATCATAATCATGGACTAAGATATAAGATAATATATCTTAGGCCGTGATCATATTAATAAATCATAGTTAAATTTTTTGTTGATAAATAGTAATAAAAAAAAGACACAGATTAAGATCTTATGTAGGTAAGAAAGTGAGAAAAGTGACAAAAAATGAGAAAAGCGACTGAGTGGAAGCTCTGTTAAATAAATAGAGGTATAAAAATGTACTTACTTATAGCATTGTATAAAGGTTTTCCTGTATACTTGTCCCACATTAAAGTAGTTTCTCGTTGATTTGTCACGCCTATCGCAGCAATAGCTGAAGGTGATATGTTCATCATTTTGAGTTTTTCGCATGTTACAGCTATAGTTTCTTTGACTTTCATAAGTATATCCTCTGGATCTTGTTCCACCCATCCTTCATGCAAAGTTATGTTATTTGTACTTATTTGATGACTGGCTATTGGCTGGTGAGTTTTTGATGAAAACACCTATAAAATACATAGTTTTAAATGTAAGATTCTTTTTTAAGTAAATAAAGTTATAGTAGTATTAATCTGTAAACTATTTAATTCCCAAGTATTATTTTAATGAATATTAAATCAAACAATAAAAAGGTTGGTTCATCAGTCTTGAAGAAATAATTGTTAAGAACATTAATAATCCCATTAATAATAGTATTATTGTTGTCTTCCTTTTTCGGTTATACCCGTTGCGGGTTTGTAGGTTTGCCTTCGACGCGGAAACAACTATATTATTTTAAGATTGATTTCCGGAGGATCTTATTAGGAAATAAATAAATTGTCTTTGATTCACTTAACTAAATACTTTTATTGAATACGAATTCACATGAGTCCCGTGTGTAATATAAAATACGACTGCTAGCGACACTCATTCGGTATTTCGTAGACGGACATTACCAAAAAGTGCATATTGTGCTAATTACTAATAAATTATAAACAGAGGTTTGTAACTTTATTATATTTAATACATACCAAGAAACGTGTACTACTAGTGCCTTCATCAATAGCACCAACAAATGTTTCTTCAGCAGCAGACATCTTTAATATAAATAAACGAAACATAACTTATTATTATGATGGATATTCACAATTTTTTTATAAGTATGTTAACATATTTGTATTATAAAAATATTTTAATGTATACTGTACCGATTTTTGTGCATTATTTTTCTTATAACAGATTAAGTTATGTATTTTGGACATTGTAACAAACTATGGACGTTGATCTAACTGTTATTACAAACAAAATTATCATGAATTAGAATATGTTTTCTGATTTATTAAAAGATTATTAATAATGAATATGCTACAAAATTACTTAGTATTATGGATTTCGAATGCAATGGCAATACAAGAGAAATATTAAAACAATTGACCAATATAAATTTATATATATCTATCTATACATATATGAATATGAAGATTTTTTTAAGTATTGATTCCAATAATGTTTAGGTCAGGAATAATGATTAACTGTTATTACTGCATTGTGTATCACATTGTTATCATATGGATAATGGTCCTACAATATCATATTATAATTTATAAATTAATTATAATGTTCATAAAACTCCAATTATCATTAATTACTATAATTAGTATTAATTATACTGGACTATTATCTTTATATGCTATGAAATAATTGTTGACATTGCATTGTTAAATGAAAATATTAAAAGGATATTCAAGTTCTTATGTTCAACAATGCCTTGTTAGAGAATTTTTAAGTCAAAATCAATAATTAGAACACATGTCTTCTTTACTTCATTGTTATTAAGATTTTTTGTTTTTGTAAATGATTTGGATTTATTTTATTTTATATTGGAAATTTGGGTTATTTTCAGTCATTGTCGTTTATGCATAGCGAGAACAAAGATAATTATATTTTTGTTTTGTCAGACAGTTGTAGTAAAGTAGGCCAACCGTGCAGTAATGTGAAATATAGAGATAGACAATAAATTACTTTACACTTCATTTTATTTATTTATTTTCCGTTTTAAATGATTGGATGTGGCAATCCCCAATATTTAAAACATAATTGGAAAATAATAATCAATAATAGCAAATTCTACAGAATGCCTAATATTCAAACTAGGTGTGTGTAGGTAGTATAATTGAATAATTCAAACATTATCGCTTCTTGGAGCATACACATTGTAAAAAAAATTAATTCAAAATATTCATTGAAACTCATTGACTTAACTTGAAAAGCGAGCATATTGGACAAAATGGATATTTAAATTTAGGTGAAGACAATTTTCTTTACTTCAAAGCTGTAGAAAACACAAGGATGAATAAAATAATGATTATAAGACAACTCCATTGTTTTCTAAATGGACTGTCACTTCAAACACTTTAATGCCCAGTTGCATAAACAACCACTAAACATTAAATGGATCAATAGTGCTAACAGCAACTGGCAGTCCCTCAAACATGATTGATCCATTAAATTTAGGTTGACCATTAAATGAATTGTTTGGTTATGTGACTAGGTATTAACGTTTGACCTCACGATCAAGAAACTCATAGATATTTTAGTATTCTACTGGGTAGACATTTTATGTATAATGCATACTGTTTGCAAACTTCATAACCATTAAATGAATCGTTTGTTTATGTGACTAGGTATTAACGTTTGACCTCACGATCAAGAAACTCATAGATATTTTAGTATTCTACTGGGTAGACATTTTATGTATAATGCATACTGTTTGCAAACTTCATCACAGATGCTAATAAGATCATGCCTAAAGGTAGCCTATACTACAACTGCGGTCGCGCAAAACCAGATGGCCGAGGTACTCACGCGAAGAAGATGTAACGACGGCGTTCCGAACGTTAGGTGACCGATCTGTGATGGTGCAGCGATGGCGTACGTGAAACACGCACAAAAGAGACTTGAGTGACAGACGTTGAGTGAGCAAGAAATAATGTATCCATGTAATGGTTGCCAGTCACGGGCGAACTAGTCGACTGCTCGCGCTGGGGTTGCCACGGCGATTGAATATAATTATTATATTGTGCCTTGCAGTTATCTTGTCGTCACTCGTCGACGAATGTCACCGCTAGTGAAAACAAAATTTCAGTAGACGTCCGAGGACAATACTTACGAAATATAATAATAATAATAGTAGGTACCTATAGAAAAAAAAAACAGGAACACAATATTGTATTCGTCGTGTTTTTTGTCTGTTTTGGTTTATATTTTTTCTTCTTTCACTAGCGAGTACCAACCACAGTTATCTACACGCGTATAATCATGATAACCGTGCTTAAGGCTTCGTTCCCGACCACTTTAAGCTGAATAAATTATTATTATTTTTTACAACATTCACCGACGTGTTACCAACGCTGTGCTATCTGTCTGGCATCTACGTTGTTGTAGGTACGTAATGAACAATAACAATACGAATAACACAATACGACGATACCTATTATTATTGTTATATTTTATTATTGTCCACGAAAAACCGCGGACAATATAGATGGTTTATAGATCTATTTTGTACAGAACAATAAAATATTATTCCAATGAATAATCATTCTGTGAAAGAAGTCTGTACGTTTATCGACTTGGTGAAACGTACTATTTAATCGGTATGACGGTGTAAGGAAAAAAAAATTAAAATAAATTATAATAATTAATAGGTATTCGATTTAATCATGGACATAAATTATAATTGATGTAATTTAAACGTCCATGGATTTTAATAATCGTTATTAATATTGTTCTGCGCAATAAGTTATAAGACCGCAGTCCGTAGGTCCGCACATAATAAATAATATATCTACACTATTATCTACAGGGACAAGGGTCAGTTGTAACACTGTAATCATTCTATAGTCTTCATGGATTTATCATGATTCATGGGTACTATGACGTATAATCATTGATAACACGCGTCGTGAAATAAAATTGAGGTGTTTACTGTTTTGTATTAATATTTAATAATAATATTATCGAATAACTCCTATGATAGAGATTGGAGGAGGCTTTCTTTTTTTTTTAATTTGAAAACGATTGCGTTGAAAGACCCTTGCGTTGTCGTACGAAAACAATTGAACAGAATCCGACGTTAAATATTCAAAAATGACCACTGCAGATTACGTTTCCAAGTATTTAGCATTGTTGAGTAAACTGCACAACGACCAAAGAGCATTGGCCCCCTTAAAGGTTTCTATTTTGTAAGTATTGTCCGAATAAATAAAATAATATTTCGTATAGGTAGCGTCGTATAATAGCAATCTAAAAATTTGTAACTAGATAACTGTTAGATAATATTATTTGCTTAATAACTTATAATTCAAAATCAAACAATAAAATCTATATAGGTTCTGTAGCCCAAATTTTAGTACATATTGTGCTAAAAATTACAGGTGGGTTCAAAGTTTGAAAAATTTAACCAAGTCTTTAAAAAACCAAACTGAACCAACCTCGAACAAAAAGTTTGAAATTCTATAATTAATTTAAACTTCTAAATAGTTCAAAATCCAAAATTCCAACGTATCAAACATTTGGAACCAAAAATTTTCCCGGTGTTTAATAATACATTTTTATTTTGTCTATTGTCTATTTAATGTGGAGAGTTGAATGTTCATTATAATAAAATTACATTATAGCTAATAGCTAACACAAACAGGTAAAATATCAAAATATTGTATGTTCTTAAGGTATTAAATTATGTATTAACTTACCAGAATAATATGAATATTTTATAGTGGATATTATTCATGTATAGACCATATTATAATATTATTGTTCAATAATGTAAATTGATAATTAATTATAATAATAATAATGGATATATATGCAAAAATAACATAGTTGATATATTTTGTATTGTATTAAATAAACCATAATACAATTAAAGCTAGAAATATAAGAAAAAAATGTTGGAAAATTAATATTATAAAATCCTTCAAGGAGATTATCACTCTGCTGTAAAGTAGGTGCCAAGTGTACCTCATCATTGCATAGGCACTGTAATGGATGTGCTCAATTTGAATTTTATTACAAATCATTGTACATAATGAAAAACGATTTTGAGCTAATAAGGTCTAACTCTTTAGTACCAAGGTTACCAAACAATTATTTTAATAATAATAATAATATTAACACCTAAACATTTAATTGTATTTTTTTGTTTTTCCCTATTTTAAAAAGTACTAAGAATTTTCTATTTTGACATCCCAAAAGTACCAATTAGATGCAATTTGCTACCATAAACCTCTTTTGGAATTTATGATCAGAGCATTTTGTCTACCAGAAAAAGTGTCTTCAGATTTTGATAAAAAAAAATAAAAACATTGTGAAATTAATACATAGTTAAGTCCGTTCAGAATTAAAAAAATTAATAAATATAATAAATGTATAGTGAAGAATCAAGGGTCAATTGTCAATTATATACAATTCAAATATATAAACATTGATATTAATAAATTCTTTCATATTATTTTATATATTTTGCAATAAAACTTTCTTAATTTACAGGGTTTATAAATTTACCTATCAGAAAAAAAAAATTTATAACTGAATTACTTTAGGTCTTAATAGGTCTTAACTCAATATGGCATAGGATAAGATGTTTAGTAAATTTAAATAACAGTCATCCAACATAAGTCTCAAACAAAACTGTTAATTTTACAACAAATATTTATTATATTATAATATAAGATAGTCAAAATTACCTGAAACAAATAATATTGCTAACAAATTTTATAAATTGTTTTTAACACGTTGACTGCCATGCGGCCGCATAAAAATAATTACGTATCGATCATTTTTAGGCCGCCGGCTGCCGCACCATATCATTCCTAGGAGGCCATACGGCCGCGGGCTGCCGTAAATGAATTTAGATTTATATTATTAGCTTTTCCATGGCGCTACAATAATGAACTGAAAAATGCGCCGTGGCGTAGTTGGAAAAATTACAATTTTTTTGATGTAATAAACATATTTTTAATATTTTTTTTGAATTTTTTAGTAAACATACAATTCAATAGTATATATACAAATTTTTAATGACACCAGAAAATTTGCTTGGCGCACCAATGATACATATTATTATGGCCGCCGGGGGCCGCGTGGCAGTCAACGTGTTAATGGTTATAGAAAATATTGCAAATAAGAAAAACAATTTGATATTAGATTAAATTAAATTAAACCTTAATGATATACTTTTAAAACATAATATATTTAAAGTAGACAACAAAACATATTTTATAAAATCTAAACTGTAAAGGAAACACTTTTTTATACTCTTATATATATCATAAATGTATACAAATTTATTTATATGAGTTTCTTTTAAAATCATTTATATTTCCTGAGAGACAATAGTATGGTTTTTGAAGTATTAAGGTCGTTTCAATGCACCACAAATATCAGTTAGATGTATTCATGACAAATTTAATTAATTTAATTTGTTATTCAGAATTTATCTTGACGTCATAAAAGCATTCGACTGCATGGATCATAATATTCTATTGAATAAATTGGATAAATATGGCATACACGGAATAGATAATAATCTAATTAGAAGTTTTTTTTATCAATGTGTATAATACTATTTTTGTATTAGTTAATGAACTCTTAAATATATTGTAGTCACTATTAATAGGTTTTAAAAGTAGGATATTCATATTGGAATATGTTTTATACTTTTAAGAATCTGAATAGTTTTTGTTGCCTAACACTTAATGGTTAATTTATTACTTGCACAATCTTAATACTCATAAATGCAGTGACGTAATTTAGTTCACATTTTTGGTGTCTCAAATTTTTTTGTTATAATGGATATTAAAGTCCACTTTTATGTCCATAAATATTCTTAATTCTTTAACACAAAAATATGTGTATAGTCGTCACTAAAGTTTTTAAAATATTGTCAAGGGCGTCAGAGCTGGTACATTTTTTAGTACAACATTATGTATTACAAGAAAAACCTCTCACACCCAGTAAAATAGTCAGATTCTGTTAATTTATTTAAAAGTAGAACATTTTGCAGGTTGGATTTAAAATTCAAAATTATAATTATAGAAGCTAAAATATGTGATTAAATAATGCACAATATTTGTTTGTTGTTTTCAAACATTTTATTTTAGCACTATTTTAAGTAAAATTAAAATTTTAGCTTTGATTGGTTCTGAAAAAAGTTCTCATCTTTCAGATAAATAAAAAAAAAATCTAAATTCGATATAGTAGGTAATGAGGTGTGTGAGTTTTCCTGTGAAATCAATTTTGTTGATATAATACTAAGTACACCGTATAAACATAATATAAACATATTAACATGAATATTTTTGGTGTTGCAAATGTATTATTTTGAAATATGTACGTTAAACATTTTTCTAGTGTTGAAATGCCACACTTGCAACACTCCTAATACAGGGATGCTTAAAATATATTATTTATTTATACTCTTATTTTTAAACACAATACAATCAATAGTTATCTATTCATTTTTTTATTAATATGAGTTTAATATTACATTTTTTTTATAGATGTTCTCAGCACAATCAAAGCAGTCTACTAGATGAAAATGAATCTACAAACACAGAAAACTATTGTCAACACTGTTTAACTCCTTGGAAGTATGGACATTTTGTTATGAAAACTCATCCAAATCGAAAAAATAAAAATGATAAAATACAAAAAAAGCGTTCTACAAAGTTATTTAATATGGTAAATATTGATAAATATGATTATTTACCTATAACAATAACATATTGATTTATTATATTTTTACTTTAGGTAATAAAGTGTTTTGTGTGTTTAAATACAACCAGTTCAGTGTACAAGAAGAATATAATATTAAATCAAAAACCTACTGAAAAATTGCTAAAAAGTTCAACAGTAAATAAAAGCATTGAAAAAACATCAAAAACTGAAGAAAAAGTTGAAACAATAGTTAGTAAAAAACCAAAGAAAAAAAAGAGAACCCTATATGCTGGATTAAACCCATTAGTTTTTAAAAATTTAAATAAGAAACATTAAAAAATCCACCTATGAATTTATGATAATGAGTGCAAATAAAATCTTTTATGTAATTACGGCTTCTGGTAGTTTATTTCAATTACATAAATCATAATACATAATGATTTGAAAATATTGGCTAAATCTTAAGTTAAAAATGCAATATAAGAAATATAATATGAGAAATATCTATACTTTTGCTAATCACCTTCTAAGAATGTCCATGTTTAAAGTATTATAATAATATAAATAAATACCCACTGAAAACATTAAAAGTAATTAGTTATTTGACTATTTGGAAAAACCAATTTTATTGTCTGATCAATGTATAACTTTTATTAAAAATTTAGATGATTGTCGACAATTTTAGTTTTTACAACAAACTATTTTTATTTTAAACATTCACATTTCTTTGTAGATAATAAACTTCAATATGTATTTTTGTATGATAGTATTTAAAATCAAATGAGCACTTTTTTGTCTTACCAAGAAGGAGTAACATGAATACATAAATTAAAAACAAAATTATATAATATATGTAATGAATAATAATCATCACAACTAATTCACAAGCTTGCTTACAGGTGGTAGATATTATTATATTATTGTAAACTTGTTCTTTTGAGCTCTGTATAATTTATAATAAATTAATTTTATTTAATAAAATAAAATAAAATAAATATTTTTATTTGTAATAAAATTACATTTATTTTATAAAACTGTAATGACATTTAATAAAACCCTGATTAATGGTTCAAATATTAGTATTAAACCTAAAAATATTTCACCTAAGATATTTATTTCAGATGTAGTAAATTATAATAATTTAACCCCATCTATCTAAAATTCACTCTTAACCCACCAAATTCATTAATTTTTTTTTATACATTTAAGTGTTGATAAACTGAACTCACACTCCATTCAAGTGACCATAAATTTCATAACTCATAATAAAATGTTGGTTAGCATAAATAATCAGTACTAGTTTGGACATCTTTTTTTAAAATCTGGACTTGTTAAATTTTCTTCTACAACAGAACAAATCAAAATATATTATTGAAAATAAATAATATATTATAACTTAATGAAATAAAAATAAATGTCATTTGTTCCATCTGAAAATTCTTCAGAACTTATTGTTTGGATAAGTAATATATTTGTTTGTTGACATTTTAATCACAGATACAAAGTATATGTTAAATTCTTTACAAAGTTAGTCACATGATAAATTTGTACAAATGGTAACATTTTGTATAGATATTTTTTATTGAAAAATTATAGGTACTATTTTTAAATGATTTTAAAGTTTGGATATTTTTTACTTCGATTAAAATTAAAATAATAATCTTAGTATATATCAACATAAAAGTTAGGATACAAAAAAAAAAATTAACTATTAAGATATGATACCCACATAAATTGATTTTATTACATTATATTATTATTATCTAACCGTTATTATACTTTATTGTCACAACTCGCAATCATATTATTCTATGCCCATGGTCATAACTACCTTACTTATTTAGATGTTTGAAGATTTTAAGGGTCATTTTCTGGCTAAATATTTTACAGTTTTTAAACAGGTACCTACTAATGTACTATTATAAGGGATGGATAATTATTAAAATTTAAAACAAATAAAATTAATAAGACAATTTTGTATAAAGTATTGATTTTGGGGGCTTAGCTCCCCTCCAATGAGTTAATCCAAATTATAGTCGTTAAATTTAAAATAATATATTTAACTCTAAAAGTTTAAACCTAATATAAATAAAGTATTAAGTGAAACTTGTTAAAAAAAAAATAATAGGTAGGTAGGTACCTACCTATTAGGTAGGTAAAGGTACATTTTAATCATATCATTTTAACATAACATAGCTACATGGACAATGGACATAGGTAGGTACCTACATAAAGTTGTTAAAATTGACAAAAAATGCTATGCTATTACAATGAACAGTTAATCTAGTTAAGGATTATCAGATTACCACTTTACATTACTTTTTCATTAATAAAGTAGTGTGTTACATACAAATAACGTTACTTTTTTTTGTCATTTTTTTTTAACCATATTAACTTCATATGATTCAATTATTATGTATATATTTTACAATCATAGACAAAGTGATTATAGACCTATTTTAGTATTAGGTACGAATTTACAATCATCTCACCTATATGGCTATATAGTCATAAGTCATAAATCATAATTAATTTTTGTTAAATTGTATTTTTAAACCAAACTCTTCTTTTGCTAATAAAGTGATAACATGTATTCCCGGAATGTTTAGTAATATAATTATCATCGGAATCAAAAATAAATATAATTGATTTTTAATTTTTCTCGGATATCCTATACCTGAAATAGAGGTATATTCAAAACTATTATTTTATTAATGTGGAAAATAACACGTTAGTGCGTTACTTCATATAAATTACTTTTCAAAAGTAATTTTGTTACAATTGGGTTACTTTAAGTAAAATGTAACGAAATTACTGCTGCGTTACTGAAAAAGTAATTGTGTTACAGTAATTTGTAATTTGCGTTACGTTACTAACCAACGCTGTGAAATGGCAAATTTTCATTCACTAGTTTCAATAAGGTGCTGTTAGTTTTTATGTTAGAGTAAATTGACTATCATCAAACTTTTAGGTAACAATATTATCTGTGCTTAAGGGTTGTCGATTTTTTCATTATTTTAGTTTTGAAGTAAGAAACGGGTATGTGAAATATCACAAATTAATTAAATTGGTCATATCTCGCTTGAAAATTAAAATATATCAAATAAAAGTCGGTTAACGATATTTTAATTTTTAGGTGAAATATGAGCATTTTAAAATATTAATGTTTCACATACCTACTCATAATTCAATTAAAAATATCGTATAAATCCAAAGAGAGAACACAGATAACGTTACTTAAAAGTTTGATAATAGGTCAATTCACTTTAATATAAAAACTATAACAGCACACCATAGAAACTAATGAACGAATATATTTTGGTGTGTCGTAAGTGTGTAAGACGGAGACAACAAAGAGTAGCGTCTTCTTAAAATGAAAAAATGACCGGTATAATATATAAATATATTAAAATAATCAAAAACGGCCCAAATATACCTACCCTTATGTACATTTGTTTCGACTATCCTACTACCTATAATCAGATATGATTAGATAGGTATGATATTCGAATATCAGATTAAAGTATTAAACATCTGAAAATATATATTTGAGTTTACTCAAACATTTTCATGAAAATTTCATTTCCACTTTTTTGAAATTTAACACCTAACTAACCCTTCAAAATTAGATTTTTAAATTTTGAATACCCATGTACTTACTAAGAGTTTTAAAATGTAAGGGAGTTGTATTCATGTAATTTTTAATAAATCGAATTTTATCGGATAAATAGGTAAGTTTATAACTTAAATCAATCAATTAGCAATAGATTGATACTTTAAGACATAATAATTAATGTTCACATGCCGACAGCTTGATATTTACATATTATGCCCGAGTGCTTCACTATTTCTTTTACACTATAGTCGAACACACTAAACTTGATTGCTTACCACGCACACATTTACACGGTACGTATGAAAGGCTTCGTAAATTGCCTATATTGAACTCCTTAAAAAGGTCGATATTGAATCCATTTAAGAGGCCGCTACACAAGTTAAAATTTGTTGTCTCCGTCTTACAAGTGCGTAATATAGCAAATTTACGCTCAGCAGATAACGTTTAACTCCGTTAGTTTAAAAATTAGAGTGAATCGACAAGTTAAGAAGACGAGTTAATAAGAATATTATCTGGGTTTTATTTTACGATAACGCAGGTTTTAAGTGAATTATGAGCATTTTTAATTTACGCAATATTATAACATACATACATAACTTGCTAAAAAATGATTGTAAAAAACCCACATAAAAACACAGATAATGTTCTTAAAACTTCATAATAGATGGATTCACTCTAATTTTTGAGCATTTGTTACGCACTTGTAAGACGGAGACAATACATGTCCGTGTAGCGTCCTATTAAAGTTTAAATTCGTATCTTTATCTGATCTGTGAAAGTTGCTCGTGGACACTTTTTGTTTTTTATTTAGATTTAAATAATAATAATAATAATAATAATAATAATAATAATAATAAAAATGGATGTATATAATATAAGAATAGGTACTTACGAGTTACGTTGTATTTCAGTCAAGTGATATAATATGTAAGTATATAAAGTAGTTATATTTTGTTGTTTATTATTACTGTTTATAAATTTATCCTCATATTCGAAGCATTCTTAATCAGTGTTCAGTGGTTATCGAATTCGAGAAAATTGAGTAACACAACATTTAATAATTTTTTTTAACTCATACCTAGGTAAATTATTGATGGCTGTACGTTTTAGATATAGTTTTTCGTCAAGTAGGTATTAGGAAACTGTTCTAACAATAACAGAGTACCTACTGTTATCTATTAAAAGTTGCAAATAGTCAATAGACTAGATTTCCAATCTATAATGGGCTATACAGCCTATGTAGGTCAAGGCAAGGTTACATGTACCTATAACCTTTGTTTCCAGAAAAATAATCAACGTCAACTATAGGTAATAGATATATCGTATGCATTAAACATTCCACGTTTCCTTAGACGGGAATCGGCCATCGGGTCCAATATTATTGAAAGGGCTAACATTTAAAAATAACTAAATACAAATTGGTTGACATTTTCACCAAATAGTCATATTAGTATTTTCTATTCCATATATTATGCATGATTTCCTTACTCCACTCAAAGGATAAATTGTAAATATAGATTAGATGATGTGGTATGCATTTCATAAGTTTTCTAAATTATTATTATTCTACCTAATAGCAATAAAAAAACAACTAGGTGTACCTACTAACATGGAACGTACAATTTTTCATTGTTTTGAGGTAAATATAAATTCATAATTGTTATGAATTATATCAATATTTAGGTATCCGTTGTTAAATAATTTATTTTACATTTGTTGGTGAAATGTTGCGATATTTGAATGGTTGAATAGGTAGGTACTGTACTATTACACTAATACACTATTATATTAGTTGACTCAGTTACAGTTACCAATCTATTATTTTACCAATAATTTTAATAAAATATTTTCAAAACATAAAAGTAAAAACAAAATAATAGTTTATTGACACTTCTAAAATTAATTATACAATATATATAAAAAAAGTGCAATGAATTTTTTCAAATTGCTCGAATGCTACTGTATTTTACAAGGTATTTTTTCCTACAACTATATAAATTTTCATTAAATGAAATCATATAATTTATCAAACACATACAACAAGTTTGTTCAAATGAGCAAAATTAAATGTAAAAATACAAAATTAGAAAAAAAATGAATATAATAATTTAAGTAAACTTATAATAATATTGTACTCATAATAATTATTAGAATATTATTTTTACATTCAAATTTACTTTCTAACGAATATAAACAATGAAATGTAGAGCACGAAACAGAAAAAAAATCACAAATGATATGTCTTTATTTTAACCTGACATTGGATTTGAATTGTGACTAGACGTAGTGATTTTTGTTTTTAAAGTTCAAGTGAATGTTTCGCTTTCTCCTCGTTGAAAATCCGTCACCAGTGGGATCTAAAATCCATGGGTAATAATTGGGGCATTCCATGCAGGTGAACAGTCTGATCGTCTCTCCTGGGAGTTCTCTGGTGGTCAATGGGCAAGGATTTGATAGTGAGCAGAAGGGCTGTCCTTTGACATCGCATTTGCTGTTTTCGTCTTTCCATTCAGTGAAATCTCTCATATTGTCCAATTCAGTTGGGGTTTGCATCCATTGAATAACCTTTAAAGCAAGATACCATTAGGAATAAATATTTTTTTACCACCGAAATTTGTGATACGACATAGAATATTAATGCTACAATATTTTTTTATTTTATATTCATAGGTAAGTACTCAAAAAATTATCACTTGTATAATTGTATACGTCTTGTATGTACAACTTATTGTATTTAAAGAAAACTTTTAGGTAGTTAGGCTTAAAGTTATTATTATTATTACTGTTTGCATATTATTATTCTAATGCCATAGTTTATGTCACCATATCTAATTTTTATTTTCAGTATCTAATTATACTTATATGTCACATTATACAGGTATAAAACGGGTACTTACTTGCAACATGTTGACGAAATACACGTCGTTTCTCTTCAACATTTCTTCAATGAACTTGATCAGTTCATCTTTAAATTCTCGTTTGCTCTTAAGCCACGAAGCGTGGAAGTGTAATCCCAATGGGGCACGGTTGGTAGAGAAATGACGATTGAAGTTGTGTCTGAGTAAGCGTCCGAACTGTTCACCAGTTTGGATGTTCGAACAGGAATCGACCATGTGACAACCTATAATAACAGAATATGTTCGGTGAGTAGTGAACCATTTTTCTAAATAATTTTCATCGGGTTTTTTTCCACCGAATCTAGTCACAAACCTGGCAGAGACTCGTCGAAAGTTGGGTCGTCACGTCTGTCCAGCTCGTTCATGACCATTTCCCATACCGGATGGCTTCGGCTAGGACAGTTCTGGGCGTTACCGTTACACTTGTGTGGCATCCTGAAGAACAGAGTGTATGGCCAGATGGGTACTCGGCCCAAGGAGGCGGTAATGGAAGCGTCGTAAACGAAGAACTGGTGTTCCATCATCTGGAACTGTTTGTTGCCACCGACTCTCAAGTACGGTGCACGGATTCCGACGATCGAACCGTCAGAGATGTTTGCGAATCTGTTTAAATAAGGATTAGGATTTAAAAATTAAAAATACTATAATGCATTAACACGCATGAATACAAATTAATATTATATTAACATGGCAACTATATTATTACCTTTCTGTAATAAGTCTAGCTCCAGCCATCTCGGCTAACCAATCGTCGTAAGATCCACCAGTCCAGTATTTCGGATCATCTTTGTGTGTCAACGAGAATACGGCGATCTCGTGTCCTTTGCGGTGCAATTCTTGAATGAATGCATAATTGCTGTACTTGTGCGACACGAAGAACGTTCCTTTGATGGAACAACCGTTGGGGTTCATTCGGTTTGGCAATGAGTTATTGAAAATCTCTTCGTACAAATCCATGTTGTCAACATTTACGGCACCATTGAATGTAATAGTGATCAACTGAGGTACCTGTATAAAATTATGCAAAACGTTTATTAAAATCCTATTCGTTATTAAACTTTCTTGTTAAACTAAATGTGTATTTTTCAATTTATATACCTATAGGCATCGTCATATAAAATCGATTTATATTCAATAAATATTTTTTCATTTATTCAAGAAAAGGTTAAAGACAATTATAATTGCCTATTAAATTGTCTCAAAAAAAAAATAATGTCTGTAGACTCCAATTAGTTACAAAAAAGTCCTAACAGTCTTGTGGGTTGCACAGAACATTTGATGCGAATCAATAGTGAGCTAATGGTCCCTTAAACAAGATCTAGTGGCCCACGATTAGTCAATTCAATTTTTAGTGAACAATTCGATTTAATAAATTGTTTATGCCACCCAGCATAAATATTGATAATATTTTGTTAAAATGTTCTTAAATCCTGTGTGTTGAATATTGAAACGATTTCCAAAAAAAATTCAAAATTGATTTAAGCATTTCGTCAACAACATTGTATTATACTCATATAGTTATACCTGACTAGGTTCCAATCCACCGGGTATTCTGGTACCGTCGGCTGAGCAGAAGCAATCAGGCAACACACATTGGTTCGGATCACAATCTGGCGCACGGTTCGGGTCAGTTTCCACGCCTAAAGTCACGAATATAAATTGTAAACGGTAATCGATCACGTTACAGTTCACCAGTTGCATAATTACTGCAACCGATAACACTTACTGCAAGCGTTTTCATCAGACTCGTCCTTGCAGTCGGGTCTGTCATTACAGAAAAGATCTTTGTTTATACATTCACCGTTACCACATTGTAGTTGGTCCTTTGGACAAACTGGTTCGTCTGTTTTCAAATTAGGTAAAGCTTTTCTGGGTTCTGAAAATAATTTAGGTTATAGATTTTCAAACTTAAATTTATTTATGTTAAATTATAATATTCAACGCCGATATGAATATTGTTACTATTTATAAGCGTTGGTTTCATCATTTAAAATCGTTCGTTAAATAAATATTTTGAAACATATTTTAACAACGATCTTGGTAAAATATGATAAAATTTTTAATTTGATGTCATTCTTCAACTTCACGATAAACACATTTTATGGCGTTGAATATTATTTTTACTGTAGGTACCTTGTAGTTATTAGGTACCTACTTAGTAATTACTAAAATTTCTAATTAAGAAAAAGCGATGGAAACAATTATGAGAAGTGTAGTAATATAGATAAATGATTACGCAAGAACGTTCTATGTTGACTAAAAGCATTTCTTTAATTTTATGAAATGGAAGTTTTTACTGTATAGTACCTACCTGAATATTTTACAAAAGGTACACACCACCAACTAATCCAACGATACAAATCTAATTTTATTTGCTACAGTATATATTATAGTATATTATATAGTTTTTAAATTAATGTGTTATTATCAGATACATTTTCATACCTACCAATTTTAATTTGGTAGTTAATGTTTTTAAACAAGGTACCGAAGAAAGTAACTACCATATATTCTTAGTCTGGAACTTATTGCTGTTAAATTTAATATTAATCTGTTTCGTAAACAGGAATACTGAAAGTGATTAAGTATTTTTTCAACCCATTGAAGAATAATGTTCTTTTATGCAATTTACAGACCGGTTGGTCTGTTGCCATACCTTCGTGGCTTCGTGCTGTTAATAATTATCGTTTCGAAGAATATAATAATATATTCTCATAATATCAAACACCAATGTCTAAAAAACCAGAAATCGATGCACACTTTAAATCGTTCAGTCAATTCGATGATTCAAGTTTTGTTTTATTTTGAAAACTCGTTTTTAATATAATTAACTTTTTCTCTAGGCGACTAAATGAAACTGGATTGTATGTGATTACGTACCCGCCTGTATGTTGCATAAAAATATAAGTCACGTTCAAGCATGTACAAGATTCGTGATTTGATTGAATATCGTGATATTAAGATATCTAAAGAATCTTTAGTCGTTTATTATGCGTATAAATAAAAAAAATCGAAACTCGTATTTCTATACCTACGTCAATAATTATTAATGGGTGAACTTTTTATTTTTTTTGGTGTTGATAAATAACCTTTGATGTCAACATTTATTTAAAAAAAGTAAAATCTAATCTTGTAAAAATAAATTTAAACAATGAATTATCTAATTGAGTAACGTTTTGACTGTTTTATATATAGTAGGTACTATAGTTAATTATTAATCATGATTCATGTTGCAAGCTGTAAGCATGTTAGCGTTAGTCTTATTTTCTTTACAAAAAAAGTTGTTAAAATAATAATAATAATAAAGCGCATGCAAAGTCAATAAGTAATAAAAATGATTTTATAATCGTTTTTAAACTAAAAAAAATGGATAAATGATAATACCTATGTAATATACTAAAGCTACATGCATCTTCTAAAAAAAAGAAAGAAAAACACGAATCCGGGATTAATTCTAAAAAAAGCCTACCTGTGTTTGGCGCACAGGTCTTTCAAAACTACTCAACTAATTTTCTTTGGTATAATAACACAAACATCCACATAGAATAATAGACATAACATATTATAATATGTTAATTTTTTTTTGTTTTTTTTTTTGCAATGTACAGTTCACACTCTCGTCCTTCACCTCTAAACAGTGATATCACCACTTACTGTCCAAACGGTTACAGTTGGTGACTTTACCCTTCCAATCACACGTCTGCTTATCTACGTCGAATGCCAAACCAGATGGGCAAGTGATTTGTTTTATACCGGCTTTAGTGCACCTGAAGGAAAAAATGCGTTCATGCTATTTTTATGTTAAAAAAAGACATTATCAAATTTAACTTAATTTCACTTTTTTATGACGTTCAATCGATGGTATGCTGAAAATTAATTTATTTTAGCCAAAACAAACAGATGCAATGCATGTAAGGTTCATATAAATAAGACACCATTAAATATATACTCATAATATATATATATATATAAAAAAAAAATATATATACCTATCGACTTTATATTATAATGGTTATGTTAGGTATTGTTAGTAAAAACAACGAACACGGGCAAAGGCATATTTATGATATTCGAGGCGATTATAATACTATGTAGTAGTGTCCTTAGTATGTGTATATAGTATGGATGTGTATTTCGAGCTGCGCAGACTTAAGATTAGAACCAGGGCCCATTGGATTTTTTTTATATTGATTCAAATAACAGTAGTGATGCGTATGTCGCTTAAAGCCCGTAGACCACCTTCTCCGGCCGTTCGTCGTACTTACTATCTAATTTGTCACAATTTTTCACACGAGTTTTCCAATCGCAAGTCTGACGATCAATGTCAAAAGCTAATCCTTGAGGGCATCGGACGCCCGCGAGACGGGTAATGCCGTTCTCGCCTGCTTGGTCGCACCTATTGTGGGCATCAATCATACCAATAAAACAAATACAAAGTTTTCGGACATGCACTGAATCGACCTACGCGTAATGTACAACTAATGTTTGGTAGGATTTACAAAAAAATAAAATAAAAAAATGTATACCAAAAACTATTAATTGTTTGATTTAAGTAAGAATTATATTATATAATATAATATATTATAGTCATATAGTTGAAGTACCCTACTAAGTATATTTACGTTTTGATAAAACGTACACAATTGTCGCAGTGAAAATATTTTGTAAAAAAAATTGATTTAAATTCGTATATGTGATTTTAGTGTGGGTAGGTATAATTTATTAGGGTCTTTATTATAGTTATTGGAATTTCTAATACCTTCGCATATTACTGTTTGTTTTATTATTATTATACATATATATATTTTATTTTTATCTAACGACTTGCATTAAGTTAAAAGCAAAACGTGTATGCTGTATAAACTAAAAGATGTTTTCAAAAATCTGATAGTATATTTGTCGCTATCTTGAGGTTAATCGATTGTAAAAACGACGTCATGGTAAAGTTTACGTTCACTGTGCACGATGATGTAACGGAATGAATAATTATTATTCAATGTTTTCAACATTACACATAAAGTTATAACTTATAAGTGATTGACACGTCTATATATTACAATAATATATTAGTTTATAAATAATATTATTATTTATTAGACACGAGTTTGATGCATTTATACTTATTTTGTTCATAGTTTTAAATATTTACCTTACGACGTCTCTACAGTCACCTTCGGTGGACAAACGAAAGTACTCATCAGCTGGTCGGTTTTTGCACAGTTCATCTACTGATTGTTCGTCACCTTCGTCAGCTTGACGTTTCTCTCTTGGTGTCATAAACCCATTGCCTGCATAAAACGAAATTCAATGTCTCTATTATAATTTATACTTATCTTCAAATAAACAAAGATTTTATTCAATACACTTCACCCCCATTTAAATAAAATAAAATATCACAATTTTCTACAAATTCAGAACCCCGCAGGTCACCCAGGTTTATTCGCAGTGCTAACGGTATGATTACACTACAAAATATGAATTAATTTATGGTTTGTTGTACTGAAATGTTGCACTGTTGCAGGTATCTTATTATTATACGATATAATATGAGCTGTTCTTAAACTTCGTAGGTGCACCCCCTCACACGGCTCACGCACAATGATGCACGGCCTGCAGTCGGGTCAGTATATTTATTGCGAAACTCAAGATCTCTGTACATTCGTTCAGGTATAGTCGTATAAAGACACTTTTGTACACAGTGTTTGAAGTAAAAAAGACTAACAAGAAAACAATTGATCAAGTCGCGATTGATCAAGGTTGGTGGCCGTTGGCGTCAGTGCCAATAACACGCGGTGAATAGATAACACAATAATAAATTCTAGAATATATCATATAGGTACATACCGACAAATCGTCGATTATTCTACCTATACCTCACAATATACCATATAGGTACCTACGTGAACATTATATTATGCGTATGTATTAGTAATGTGTGTGTGCGTGTCGTGTAGGTACTCGCGTGTGGGTGTGTTTGACATATTATTTTCTATTCTGTGTTTCAGCTGTTTTATACACACGAGTGTCGTTATATTTCTCAGTACAAAACACTATAATAATAGTATAATAATAATAATACAGTTCTATATGTCTGCAGGTTGGGCTCATTGAACGTGTAGCGGCCAAGTCACGTAGTCATAGCCATGGTGCCCATTGTTCGGGCAACGCGCGAGTAAAAGGCGTTGGAAATCGTTGATATTACACAGGTACATATTATTATGTGGTTCGAGTGGTGACGAAAAGAGAAAATAATCGGTCGAATCGCGCGTCATATACTCGCAGATAGACCCACTCAAATATGCGTATATATACCTGCTACAGTATAATATTGAATATAATAATATATGATATATTATTATCTCGTCATGTTCGATACATAAATAAATTAAATTAATACGTTTGACTTGAACCACTTTCTCGAACGACAAGGCGAATAAACCTGATATAGGTTTGCACCGACTCCCTCACAAATTAATTGCAAACCACGTCAATGGGAAAATGATTTATAATATCTGTACAAAATTAGTAATATTACTCTCTGATTATTCTCTAGTACGAGAAGAGCGTCCGTGTTTAATTTATTCAATTCGTTACGCAAAAGAAAAATAATGAAATTCTAACAGAAGTCCATATACAATATCCAAAGTCATTCCGAGTATTTAAGTGATCACGATTACTGATGATTCGAACCAAGAAAACGTGACAATCGAATACGGGACAAGTGGGCAACATAATATCTTAGTATAATATGGAATGTAGCACTTAATATTTATATCGAAAAAACATATAAAAATGATACCGTTAAATAGGCGAATAGCACAAAAAATACTGTTTATCAACGATGTAAATACGATAAAATGATAAATAATGTCGAAATAGTTTGAATACCTCTGCAGTACCTGCCTTCATTTCATGTACCTACCTATACCTACCTATTTGATAATAACGGAGGTGTATAAATCGCAATTGTGCAACAAACAAACGAGAGCAACGAACTCGACTACTTTTATTTCACTCACGAGTTGCTTTCTTTTTTAAACACATTTTACTGATACGCAAAATTTTAAATTTTCTTTAACATAGGTTATCTTAATTTAATATAACTATCGGGCTACCTCGCGATTTTATTCGCTGTGAATCGAAAACGATAATAATATGTATAATCCAACAACAATACAAACATTCGCTATCTGAGGGGGGTTGACGACGGCAGTTTTATATCTAAAGCTGCTGGAAAATTCGCACGTACGGTCTCCCTATTCTCTTTCTCTATACATATTATAATATATGATGTCTATCAGAAAGTGTCTCAGAAAATACTCGAAATGTGTGTTTTGTGCTCGAAAAAATGTCCGACAGAAAGAACGACGACAACGGGAGAATAACGGACAGGCTTTGAACTCGTTTGGAGTGTAAAACTATAATATACATAGGTATAGTCCACTGTATTATTGTAGTGGGTACCTATATACCAGTGCTACAGTGGCGAATCATGGTATAGACACCTATATCCACTCTGTGGATTGCGATCGCAAAAAATCGAACATCGTAATGTCACGTGCATATATATAGATAGGTAGGTATCGCATTATTATTGCCATATAGAATCGTCGTCGTCTTATAATATATTATATTTATAACAATATACATATATAAATATATACGTGTGTGTGTGCATATTATATACTTACAGTTGTCAATGGCCTGCGACAGGCACATCAGGAGCGCGACGGCCAGAGCAGCTTTTCCCGTCATCGCTACTGCGTGTGGGTTCGTGTAATGAGCGACGCGGACCAACACTGTCGGTGTATAGGTAGATATCCTCGGTCCCGTCACGTTCTCTGCTAGCCGTCTCCCCTATCGAAACTCAGCGTAAAATACCATAAGAACGAATACACGGGCGGAAGGCTGGTGGGGAAGCGGCCGATTTTCCTCCTGACGGGAGGTCTTTTTCGCCTCCCCCGCTCCCGCGAATGTGCCGCACGTTTCGCACGCCGTCTCTGCCGCGCATGCGCCGCCAGCACGCGCACACTTTCACCACGACGACGACGCCTTGACCACTGTACAATGTTATTATTAGGTATACGATCGGGTGGAGGCGCCTGCCTCGACGTATGGTGGTGGGCCATAGCTGTAGCTGCAGTTGCTATTGCGGTTGATGAGATGTATCCTATAGAGCTACATAATGCAAACGACCGATGTTGGGCCGTAGTAAACCACAGTAATGTAATTATTATGCATTTCAGTATTGGGTACTTTCCGAGTGTGTATGGAGCTATGACTTGTTTTCAGAGTACAGCCATCGGGACTTATAATAATATGGCCATTATGACATGAGCTAAAAAAAAAAGAATAATGTAGTTTTCGAATAACACAAGAGCACAGTTCGAATACTTTTAGGTTATTACTTATTTTTGTATAATACTAGAATCATTAAAATATGACAAATACAGTGCAATAGTACAATATTTCGTTATTATGAGAAGAAAATATTTATTCAATATTACTAGTCAAATATGTATTCATTATTTAATCACTTTAAAATATTCACAAAATATTATCATTTCCCAAAAGCTGTGTGGGTTACCTAATACCCAAGCATATAGGCAAGTTAATGATAATTTTTAATTCAATTAAGTTAATTTGATAGAAAACATTTTAAAAAGCTTAAAGTTAATGGTTATCATAATTTTTTTGTATCTTAGTTAAGTTAAAAGTTATATGGAAACTTACAATTAACTTATTTACTTTAGTTATCTAAGTTATTTTTATTTTTATTTTTTAATATATAAAAAGCCATTTTCCTACATATGGTTGAAAATAATAAAAAGTAAATGTTTGTATGTACCTAATATGCATCAAAAGTAATAATTGTATTATGTTTATTATTTAATTATTTATAAATTAACTGTTGTAGGTTAACAACCCTTGTATTTGAGGCCTCAATAATACAAAAAATTATAATTAGGTATAACAGGTACCTACCTAATATTCAAATTAAATAGATTTTTTTTAATAGATTTCATATTGGATGTCTAAATCTAATTATGTATAAACATGGACTAGTTGAATTATTCGAATTATTCAACTCGAATACAATTGACCGATATAGGCTGGTTTTTAACCTACCTAAACTAAAAAATACAAGGAGATAAAAAATCTCTAAAATTGAACTATTAATGTGTACTGTATTATTTTTTTATTAACAGATGTAATACCTTAACGTGTTATTTTTGTATATAAGAATAAGAAATGAAGAAGTTATTATGTAGGTATTCTGGTATTCATATTATTAATTTCTTTATTTTTTAGTTAGAAACTTGAGAATTAGTTACTTTTCAAAACAACTTATTTATTATATTTTAGTATATATATACGAGCAAACCTACAGTATACTGTATAATACCTATATGAATACCAGTATTTCTGGTAAATATACCGTTTACGACTGGTACATATAGGCGTGCACAGGGGGTATGCTGTATGCAGAGTATGCCGCTGCATACTTCACGACTCTGAGAAAGGGTCCATTTACATCCTTGATGGCTCTTTTTTGTTCAATGAATACAATTTATACTTATTTATAACTTAAAAAAATTAATTTTCAAAAACTTGACTAGGAAGACGGAAATAGATATTAAAGAAGTTATATAGATATAGTAAATAGTTAAATACAAAGTTCAAAATGCTATAAATATTTTGTTTTGGAAGGAATAATAGCTCAATATTTTGTTTCGCATACTCCGAAAATGAAGCCTGTGGACTGGTGTCTAATACCAATGGGCAGTAGTTAAGTGAAAACAGGTAGGGAATACCTATTAAATAGGTCGTATAATATGCCTTATGCAGCTCCATCTAGATAACTAGTGCCAACTGCCAATCGAAGATATAAAAATACTTTCAGCGAATCACGATTGGGCATTTTTACCTGTTTAGTATTCAAAAACCATTGCTTGGAACTCGGTATATGGTATATCCCTAAAATGATACCATGTTTGGGCATTAATTAATAAAATAATTGTATGGCATATGGCATATATAAATATGTTATAGTATACTAATTATAAGGCACCTACTAAAATAATACTTATAATGACTCAAATATGTGAAAATTGTGTTACGTCAAATTTGTATAATAATTAATAAATCATAATCAATAAAATATTGATAATGTTGGGAAGTTGCAGATGGATTTTCGATATTGTCTGTGATATTACACTTTATCTAAGTCCACTATAATTATTGTAGTTTCACGTGGTAGGTAGGTATATACTATATGGTTAGTTTTTGGTTTACATTGTGAAGTTCGTAAGTAGGTACTAGGTAGGTCGACGTCGACGTCGGTATAATACGCTTACGGCTTCATTATTATGACTTTTTAGTTTTAATTCGTGTTCATAATCATAATAACTATATGATTTCTAACTTATTCTTATGTACAAATTACATAAAAAGGGTATATACTTGATATACATATATTATATATATTTATTATAGACTATAGTGTATTAGTGCCCAAACGTGTTACGACTTCGGGAAAAAATAGTGTGCAAACGTATTATGATTTTGTGCTCAAACGTTTTGTAGGCCAAAACGTAACCTATATTTTACGATACCTATCGTCGATAGTCAATACCGACCATTGTACTGTAGGACCTACTTAATATATAAGCACACACTCGTTTTCATATTCGTTTTTGGTATTTCCTTAAAATATGTAGGTAATAGGACAGTATAGGTACCTAACCTACCTACACAGAGGTAGAATAAATAATAATAATTAGCGCATTAAGTGTATCTCGATATTTTTTTTATATGATTTAAAACGGTTTGATTCGTCAAAACAGAAAAAAATGTTTGACAGCCATTAACTATTGTTTTTATACTCTTATATAACTTGTTAGCTTATTATGGTTTTTGTTTTTTTATTGACTTGTATTTTTATATTTTTCTCAGCTTCCCTACTTCATACAAAGCAGCTGTAGCATAATATATGTGATGGGCGAAACCAGTAGTATGGATTTTATAATATTGCCTCTATCGATTAATACAAACATGTACACCGTACATGACAATGAATATATAGTGAGTTATAGGTAAGTGGTAATATTGTTTCCTGGTAGATGTATGCCCTTTTATCAAGTATCAACTAATAATAATATTATATACCTTATACCTATAAGTGCTACTAGTAACTACTAGTATAGGTATGGTAATAACTAATATTTATGTGTTATGTCTTTACTTACTACCGTGAATACTAGTCATGCAGGAATAGATACAAATACATAATAATATATATAATACACATATTACGCAGGGTGTGGTGAAAAGTGGAATAAAGCATCCATCTAAATATTATGAATAAAATTGTTTTATAATAATTAAATTCATGTAAATATGTAACTATTATCAATTTATAATTAATATACAGAATGTTAATTGTCATTGACGTACTTACACAAAAGTGAAAATTACCAAAAAATACAACACGAATTCCCTCAAATACCAGCTAATAACCTAATAATTTAATATTTTATTCAAATAATCTGTAGAATTCACAAATAAGAATGTACCTAAATCTAAAAAAGTTAATTTTTTTGAGTCATATGATTTTACAGCCTAAATTAAATTTCCAAATACATAAATCAATAATTTGATATTTATACTTTTTTTAAAATAAATGTAGGTATTTGTACATATTTAGTCATTAGTCAATGAACATTAAGCTAATATAATTATCCTACTTAATTTACTAACCTAACAATAAAATAACAAAATAAAATACTTGTTAAATATTGTTTACAAGTCAAGTCATTTAGTCATTATAATGTTAATCCTACAATTTATGTCAAACAACAAACACTAGTTTATATTTAAATATATAATATCAACATTTTTATTCTAAGGTATTTTAGGTACCTATACCAATACCTGCCACCTAAGAGTATAATACATTAATACCTTAAATACCTACTCTAGTTTATACTATAGTGGAGTCATGAAAAAGGGATTAGTATGGCATTATGTTAACATATTAATGTCATATTTTCGTAAGTAAAATAAGTTTAATCCATAATTTATATACTTTTTTAATTAATTTCGATGTAGGGAAATTGAAAATGTAAAAACAGAAATTATGTACGTAAATTTAAAAAATAAATTAATGCATTATTTGTACCAACCTGTATAATTATTTTAAATTAATATAATTAAAAATAAAAAAATAAGGAAGTGTTATAATAAGAATTACCAATATAGTTACCAATTGAAATACAAAAAAAAAACACGAAAAATTAGCACAAGTGTATAGGTAATTTTAGTCATCTCGTGTGTCATGCAATTAAATGTTAAGGTTAAAAGATGAAATCGTAACAGTTTAAAATATTTGTTAAATTTTCTGAAAAGGTTTCGAATGCGTCATGAAAATACCACTCAGCCACTCAGGGTCATTTAACTGCACGCTGCTGTATAAAAAAAAAAAATCCCGTGATTTGTTGCAATACACTATATAATATAGCTTTGCATGTTGTTAAGCAATTATAAAATGCACTTTCGCATTTGAACGACGGTTAAAGGGCGAAGGTAATATTTTTCGAGAGATAGTCTTCGTCATCAAATACCTACAGACCATGTGAAACGCATAAACATAATAAATGGTGTCCAATTATTATAATGCGCATAGCGCATTGATTACCCCAAAATATTAGTGAGTTCAAATCGACTTAACTACATAGATAATAGATGAATATTAT